GAGATAATTTTTTCCTTATTTTTACATTGGCTTTCAGTCTACTTATTGAGCAGATTCAGGAAATGCAAAAAAGATATTTCTTTTTTTGGCTTTGTATTTTATATTACCACTCTCACACACAACCAGGAACACATACCCCTTATTAGCATCTGCAGAGAGTGCCATGTTACTTGGACCCAGTTTCATGTTTGTGCTGTCCTGCCTTCATAACCTTCTCCTGTAGCCAGCGTGAGAGCTCAAGAAGCTAAGGGTAATGCTAACAACTGACAGTATAGTCTAAAATTGGATGGCAAATGAAAAAGGACAGCTCTTTTTCTTCCAAGAAGAGGTTATCTGCCCAGCAGGATGCTGGGACCCATTGTCAGAAACAAATGTTCTGCAGTTTGTACTCTGACTTGCTGTATCTAACCTCTGGATAAATTACTGAGAGGACTTTCCTTTGTAAGATTTGTCTTCTTACGCATTTGGCACAAGGATTAAATCCCCACCATTTTGCATTGCATTGCACAACCTTTACAAGCCTTTGGTGTCTCCTCGGAGGCACCCAGTACATTGTGTGCTTCTTTAGTGATGGAGTCCCAGCCGCCACTGAGGACACTAGGGCGTGGAGCAGGGTGTAAAGAGAATAGCATGAACAGGCAGGGGCAGGGATTTGGGCAAAACAAAGTTACAGACTACTGAGGGCAGCAAAACAGCTCTGTGAGGAGTGATGAGAGCCTTGCCACATGGTGTATACACAAAAGTAGTGTTGCTGACCAAGGCCAGGAGTCATAGGAAGAGCTGGAGCTGAGGGGAGACAGAGGGAGCAGCCAGTTCCCAGCTGGGCCAATAGCACCGAGGACTGCCAGTCATAGCTGGGCTCATCAGACAGCCCAAGGCCCACAAGGGTGGAGGCCCACAGGCCATTGAAAACTCCTGCAGCTGGATGTTGCCAACACATCTGACTAATCTGGAGCATGTTCCCAGCTCTGCTTCACTGCAGCATTGCTTTACATGTAGGTTCTAACCATGTTCGGGAACTGATCCACTATCCCCAAGGGCACTGCCAAGAAAACCTACAGAAAAGCAAACAGGGTAATTATGAGGATGTCCATACCCCTTCATGTTTCTTTGTAGTTGCCATACTTCCCCACTGCAAAGTACAAATATTGCTCACATCATGCTAATTCTCCTACTATTCATGCTTCCCAAGCAAGTGTGGAGATAATTCTTTCTCACCTCTATGACCACTCCTTTGTCCCCTCCATGCTGCATTCTAGCCTCTGACCACCAAGTCTACCTCAGCACTGCGGGGAAAAAGTGAAATTCCAGCGCTCATCGCGTACAAGTAATTGCAAAATGCATAGGACAACTTTCTCCTCTCCGCATCAAGCTTTTACCCATCAAGAGGCCAAGTCATCCTGCTTTCAAATCTCCTTGGAAAAGTTTGAAATGCTTAAGTGACAAACTAATGCTCAGTATAAAGATCCAAAGGGGAGATAGTATGCTCTCCAAGGGAGATTGCATGTTTCCCTTCCAACACTGGCCTCAGTTGAAGTATTACAATAATGACAGATGAGCTCCTCCAATAAGAGGCTTTCCTTTCTTTGACTTCAGAGCTCACTTTTCCAGAGTTCTATGCAACATTTTAATCCTGTGTATTTCAACTCCGTGTTCTCCTGCTAAGTTGCTTATGAAAATGGCATTAATAGAAACAGAAAATCTGTTAAGCAGGGTAAGTGCTGCCTTACATGTGAGAGCAAAACAAGCAGCCCCTGGCACCAAGCACTAAAAGGATTCCATTAAACAGAAGGAATACAGTCTTCCAACTGGCAGAGTATCATTTTGCTTTGTTGAGAGTGTATAGTATAATGATTATCTACAGCTGGGTTGGGGAAGTATGAATCACGTTAAATTTTTAAAATATACTTAGCTATGCAGACCACAGGAATATACAACGTTCTTACATTGATCATGGATATGGGATTTTATTATTTTATTTGGTTTTAAGCAGTACTTATTTATAGGAACTAAGTGCAACTCCCACATCTTCATTAACAACTGCTTCAGATCATCCAAACTGCAGAAAGTGCTGAGAAATTTGAATAAAAACACTTGTCTGACAGTCTCTTCACAGAAAAAGATAACTTTAGTTTAAATAAATCTTGCAATATACCAATCTACTTTTTTCTTTGATTAAAAAGTTATTTTCAGTTTTAATATATTAACTTTATTAAACAGATACTGTCTAAAAATACTGAATAAGAATATCTGCACAAGGAAGAAAACTCCCTAACAAACTTGCTAGCTGCAGATTAATTTCTTTGTGCAAGTGACAGAGACTTACAGGATATTGATAATGACTAGGCAAGTAGTCTACAGGAACCTTGCACATTTATCTTTCACCAATCACTGTCTTATCTTTTAGATATTAAAAAGAAACTCAGAAACTGATAGTGTGGACAGCTTGCTGACATTAAAATTTCTCCTGTTTTCTTCACCCTCCTTTTTCTTTACCCTTTAATATAACCCAAATGTATTAGTCAACAGCCACAGTAACACAGGACATTGTCTTCATACAGGATTTAGGACATGTGATTCCAAACCTAAAAGATCCATTCACAGAAGAAATAACACTCAACATTAGGCACAACTAGAATCAGATTTACAGAATAGTACTAGAAGAAGCATGGGTATGCATTAGCAAAACACTTTTTTTTTTTTTTTCCTATTTTTAAATTCTGTTTTCATCACTTTGCTTGTTTTTCATATATAAAAATAAAAATGTAGGCAAATATTAATCTTTCTTAAAGGCTTCCCAGTAAAAAGAATTCAATATCCCATACAAAGACACCATGTATGTTTAGAAAGCAATCAATATGTTTCAGAAAGGAATTGCATAACTTCCTCTTGCCTACATTGTAAAAACCCAGACACTTTTGTTGAAAATCATGTATTTTTGTAAAGCAAGGTAAGCACAATGGCAGTGTGCAGTAAGACTAATCTTTCTTACCCATAATGCAAATGATAGAATTGATTAATATTAAGGTAGGTGGGGGAGGAAAGTTAAGAAAGGAAGGGTTGCCAAGAAACTGTCACTATGAAAGCTGGCCAGAAAACAAGTCCTACTCCATGAAAATATGAAGTTTTGGAAATCTAATTTTCCTCCACACCAAGATGAACCATCCAGTCCTATATTGGAGAGCCCATTGGTTAGGGCACAACCCTATTTGTCAGCCTACTGATACTGGCAGCACTGAGGATTAATCTATCCTGTTGGAATATTAGATTAAATATTCATTGAGCTTGGTAACATCTCTCATTCAAGAAACACATTCTGACTATCAAGACAGTAAGCATGACATAGCTTCGTATGAAATTGGCTATAGAGCAGTACCTGTATCTTTGGTCCATGGAATTAAGTTGGGGGGGATGGGGTCTAATTCCACTTTTTTTTTTTTCCAAACTAAGCCATCTGTTGAAGAGTTTCTGTCATAAGTGAGGGTTTCTCAAGAGTAGCTACCACAGGATATTGTGAATATCTCTCTTTCATTTGATTTGGGAGAACCAAGCCAAAGATAGCTTCTGTTTAAAAGGCTCTATTTTTGTGCAAAGTTTTGATGGTTCAGCGTTTTCCATTTAAGAAATGCAAACTTTTCCTCAGAAAATCCCTAACCAGCTCTAGTCATCACTTTCCAGAGAGGTCGCATGTCCATAAAATAAAAATTGCAATTTACATGGAAAAGGAGTTCAGAAAAGCATAGCAGCATCATGTCTGTGTCACCTGCTAAGAATGCCCACAAAACCAAAATTGTCACTGAGCAGACTGAGCACATAAGATCTGGCAAGATGTTCAGCATCCTATAGAACTCTTACTGCGCGAGAAAAATGGCAGGATCTACTGCATGTGATGCTTCCAGGGTTTTTTTTCTACTTGCCCTCTAAGATCACGAAATACTCCACTTTGAAATGCTATTTCAAAATATAGATATTTTTAAGTAAGGAATGTAGTTATGTCTTGGAAGCCACCAACACCACTTGCCATACACGTTGCACGAAGCCCTCAGACCTTGCCCCAGGACTCAAACACTCTGTGTCCCTGCCCTCGCTCTGCCCACTCCTGGCAGATCCTCTCCCTGAAATGTGGCTGTCTTTCGCCCCTGTCTGTGCAAAGGTCTGACCCTAACAGTGTTGCCGGAAGGAAGGAAAGGTTTGTAGGAACCTTGCAAACTTTTTTTTTATCCCCTTAAACATCTCCCCAGAGGGCCAATAGAAATGCAGAGTGAGCTCTTCAGATATCCAGTCCAAGGGGGACACTTCAGGAAAGAAATTCAGCTAAAGAGCTTCCAGCACTTGATTACTTATTGTTTGTTCCTCCCCCCCGGATCTCATTGGGAACATCTAATGAAATTACAAGTATTTCTGGCCTGAAATAGCATGTTTATGCTGCTGCACTTCAGCAAGGACATTCCCTTTCAGCAATGTGCTGTCCCGTGGTTTGGGTATTCCCTGTCAACTTCTGTTACTTAACATCTATTCTACCACTTGAAAATTAAAGAAAGGTACAAGTTCACGTCTCGCATAGGGCACCTATGGACAGCGACGGGATTCCCTTCTCCCGCTTTCGGCGTCTCCAGGGCTCCGAGGTCCTGTTCGTCCGGGGCGGAGGTGGCGGGAAGCAGCGACCTCTCCTCCAACCCCCGGACCTGCCGTGCCCCCCTCGTACACCTCGCGGCAAGACCGCGGGTTCGCCCCGACCCGCCGCGCTGTCGCCGCTCCGCACTGCATCGCTCAGAGGGCGCGGGAGGCGCCAGGCGGGCACCGATGCACCCAATGCCCAGCTTGGGCGCCGGGTAGTTGCTCCTGCCCTCAGGTAGGCGCTGCGGGCGCTGGGGTATCCCCGCCTGTCCCACCTGCACCGTCCCGAGCACTCACCCGCGCCCCGGCGCAGCGAGGGACAGGGAGAGCGACGCCGCGGTGAGGTGGAAGGGGGTGGCTAGGGAAAGGATAGATAAACTAACCTGCCACGGGGATGGTGATGGGAAGCAGCAGCAGCTGATGGAGCAGCAAGGCGGGCAGGAGTTGAGTGGCCCACATGGTGCTGGCTGCCCCCCTCCCCCCAGGCGGCTGGCGGGGAGGAGAAGAGATGGCTCCACGGAAGGACCCTGCGCGCAGCCGGTCACTAGAGGAGGCAGAGTGAGCCGAGCTGCTTTTTATTGCGATGATCTAAGTTTGTTGTGTGATTAACTGGAAAGATCTGGGTCCCAACTCCCTCTTACGGTAAGAAACTGTTTAACAACATTCCCTCTCTGTCTCTTCTCCTCCTCCCCTCCACAGGAGCTGCCTCCCCTCCCGCCCCGCAGCCAGCCCAAGGACAGGGCTCCCACCGTTTCATCCCTCCCTCTTACCCTTCATCCATCCATCCCCCCTCCCTCCTTCCCCCGCCTCCTCCCCTCCATCCCCTCGGGGCTCAGAGGGAGCAGCCTGTCCTGACAGGGACCCCAGCTCTTGCCTCAGGACTGGTGTCTGCTGCCCCCAAGCCCCTCCTGGCCCCACAGCCCCTCTCACTTGCAGCTGAAACAAAACTCTCCCTCCCTTCTTGCAGACGTTTCCCTTCACAATCTACCTCTTTCTCCACCTGCCTCTAGGCCCCATCCCCAGCTGCATCCTCATCCACAGTTATCTCAGCAGGAGTCCCCCAGGCAAACCCAGGGACAAAGCAAGGCCAATTTCACCACTTAGGAAACATCTTTCTTCTGACCTGCTCATGGCTGCCCACTGCCACCAGCCTGGCCTTTCCATCACCGTCTTTGGCCACCTGACAAATGCCACTTCCCCAAAACTGTGGCAACTCTCGTGAATCTAAAGGTCAAGTATCAGCTGGCTGTCATTGCTCCATGGAGATAATCCCAACACGAGGCCTGACCTTCCTTCTGTCACAGGCAAAGTGGTTGAAATTCTTCTGTTGCACTTCATTTTGACCTCATGGAAGCAATGGCTTTGGGTTTTGTTTAAAGTCATGAGATCGGCCTTCATGACACACAAGTGTTCAAAAATAAACACTTCAGGAAAAGATCTGCCTTAATTTAAACTGTTCTTTTCTCCCATGCACTCACCTACCATCTATAGCATGTGTGTGCAACAACACAGGAAGCCTTTCCCCTCCATTTTCCACAAATAAAGCAGAGTCCTGTATGTGGCCTCATGCTATGTGAGTCAGGAAACAGCCTCCTTCTTTGCCCAGAATTATTATCCATACTGATAAACACCTTTGAGAGAAATAGCTTTCCTTAAAAATGGGTTGTTTCCCAAGCCCCAAATATTCATTGTCAGGTTTTATTCAATTTTTTCCTGTATTCCCCAAATTTGTTTTTTTTTCACCAGACTCATGCCCAGTGGCAAAACAGAATTTCCATTTGGGAATTACTGTGTTGTGAAGTAAAAGAAAGGGGACAGAAAGGAGTTGAGAGAAAGTCTGTGAAGAAAATATTTTGAACATTTGGTGTTACAGGAAAAACACATTTATGTGAGACAAAAAATACTTTCTGCTGCAGAGTGAAGATAATTTCTAGGGGTGTATTTTGCTGTGCTTGTTTTTCTCACAAGAATGCAGGTTAATATACGGGAGTTCCTTAGAGATGCACAACCTGAAATCAGAGAAAGTGTATTCCACTGGCCAGTGACCTTGTGTGAAATCCTTGTCCACTGCAACTGATAGAACATATCTAAAGCTTTGTTTTTCTCCCTGTGCTCAAAGATAGACATGAATGTAAACAATAAGCAGCAAAAATAATCATAGCACCATGCTGAGCTCAGAATAGTCACATTCTGTTAACCAGATGTATTAGGCTTGTTGTCCATGCATGTGATGAGTGACTTTATTTTTGGTTAAAAGCACAAAATCATGCACCATTAAAGTCAACTAGATCTTTTTGTTTGCCACTGACTTCCCTAAGAGGGTATTTGGCCTGTAGTCAGGTTTCTCCTGAATTTTGGAGGATTTTTGCAGTGTCTCTTGAGGACTAGGATGCTCCTTAATGGAGTAAATATTTTGCTATATGGATACCTATTATTAATACATAGTCTTGTGTATTATTCATGATGCATCTGCAGTTCTGCTTGAGAGCTCAAGTCATGGTCATACTCTTCTTTGGCTGAGTATGTTACACTGGGCAGGTACAACTCCATAGCCCTGGTTCTCCATTTGCCTAACTAGAGGACACCTCTGCTTTTTTCATAAGCCTTATATATATCCCCTCAGTGGAAACCAGGGCACATGGAGTGGAAGGCCAGGGACAGAAGGGAGATTAGGAAGGCAAAAATTCTATAAATGCCATATTCTGATGCTCTGTTTGTAGACAGTCAAGACAAAGTTTTGCATCTGGATCTGGGAAATGAAAATGTTCTTTGGTCCCACATCATATACTGCGAAATGTAGTGTGATCTTTTTTCTGTGCTTTCTTGCCCCATGTGTTTTACAACTGAAGCATAATATTTTAGTTCAGTTCAATCAAATTTTACCTTGAAACCAATTTCAATATGAAGGAAGGCTGCAAAAATTCCATTTCATGCTGAAGTTTGCAAAAAGAATTCCATGTTAAATTTCAGTCTGCACATAGAGAAGCTGAAGATCTAAATATGATAATAAAAAGTTGTGGGGTTTATGTAAGAATATTTTGTTAAGTTTTCTGACCTACAGATCTCCTTCTCTTTTTCTGTTTTTAGGGCTTAGCTGAGTGTGGGGATTTTTGGCTCCTTTTTTTCTTTTCTATTTTTTTTTTTTTGGCAGCATTGCAAACTTGCCTCGATAACCTGACTTTCAAATCAGTGCAGCTCTGTATTAGGAAGGTAGCATAGCATTTCTGTGTAAGGTATCTAAAAAGGGAAGTGTTAGTGCACACTTTACCTAAGTTGTATTTGCTCTGGACTGCCCACATGAGTAAAAAAGTTTGAAAACACTTTATTTTGGTTGGAAAAGTAAGCAGACATGACCAAATACATAGAAACTGCTGTTTTTATATTCCCTTCTCTGACTATAACCACAGTTGGATCTGTTTTTGAGATGTAGCTTGCTATTAAGAAATGCTAGATATTCACAGTTTTGGCAGGAATCTTCATGCAGAGTAATACCAAGTCACAGTTAGCTTTAAGGAAAGCTTTTCTAGATGACCCAGCATCTGTCATATTAATTACTTCTTGTGTTTCACATAAAACTTTTACCTCTTGATTTATCTGGTATAGGTATCACTCTGTTAAGGTCCTATTGGATAATAAACCAGATACAATAAACTGAGTTTGAGACTAAGAAGGGAAGAGACTGAGGAATGGACTGCAAGACTGGACACTGCTGGGAAAGCCAGAGTTTAAGCAGAGCTTCAGCACAAGGCAGGTGTCAATACTTGCTGAGGCACCTCAGCCAGGGCCCCAGCTGGGCATATGGCACCTTCCAACCTAATCTCCAGCCTTCTTCATGCAGAAAGAAAAAGGCAATTAGCGTGGAAAGACTGAAAGGAAGATGTGGAAGAAAAGGATAACAAGATCTGAGCAGAGTGGTTAATATCTGGCTGAATGCAGAAGCTCAGAAACTACCCTGAGTTTGACATTTTAGACTCAGCCATAAGGATTTTACATGTCTTGCAAAACACTGCAGACCTGAACTGCTACTCCCAGAGGACAAATTCACCACACCAGTCAAGTTGTTTAGAGCACCTTATAGTGAAGCAGAAGAATGTGGCACTTCAGACAAGGCTTCTTTTCAATTAGCCACCAGGGAAACCCAAGGATGAAGACAAGAGCCACATCTCCTCCTGCAATGTAGGCACTAACCTACAGTCCTGAAGCAGTCATGTCTGCAAACACGGCATTCACAGGTAAAAGTCCATATGTATTTAATAACTTAAATTGTCGACCTTTAAAAAGCTTCTTATTCTTTCAGCCCATGTCAGAGTTTACAGATAAAAATTAGTCAGGGGCTGTTACCTGACTCTATAGGCACAAAGTATGGTATGGTTTGGCTTGAAACTATATAGTTGCACTTCACCCAAAACCAGACTTGTGCAAGCAGCTTCACACCTTGGCTGAGTCCTTTCATGATTCAAACAAGCAAAATAATGCAGGGTGTGTGTAAAATTCAAAACAGTCTAGATTACAATTTTATACACAGGTGCATGCTCCTACGCAATGAAAAGTACAGTTTAGAAGCTGTTGAGGTTAAAAAGGGATATGAACTCTAAAGTGTCTTGGCTGTGCTTGGTTCCACCCATTACAATTGACATGTATTCGGAATAGTCAAACACGCATAATTCACAACTCTCCCCACATCCAGACTCCCAGGTGCTCAGGTTGGTCCTAAACCCTAGTCAGGTAATCCGGCATTCATTCGTGCAGTCAGTTAATAACATAAATCCCTTATGTTTTTTCTGTGCAAGACATACGGTAACTGCTTTTTACATATATGTTATATGGTAACTAAGAATAGCCAAGATGAATAACAAAACAATTTTAAAGTTGCAGTATGAAAGCCATTTAAGCCATTTATGGCATTGTGCCGAATGGCTGATGCTGATAACACAGCCCTTCAAGATCAGTTTGGAAATTACTATTTCCAATACTTGGGGGGAAAAAAATAGTAAAGGAAAAAAGTAGTAATCTGTACTCTGCACATTGCTGTTAGTAGGAAATATCTGATCTCATTTTATCTGATAAAAATTCAGATATTTCCACACATCAATCATTTATTTACAAGGAGATAAATTTTGCAAACAAGTGTGCATTCAAAAGATTTATTTGAATAAAAATTCCTGGTAATATCCATTTGACGTTCTGGGGAATGTGCTGCATTGTGGCTATAGGCTTTTAGGAACATAAAAATTCCCTTTACTCATAATTGTTTCTTCTAAGTACTCAGAGTTTAGGTATATTGACTGAAGAATTTAAACTTTTTGTTTATATCTGTTTCCTCCTTTATTAGTCTCCGCAGCGCCAAGAAAGTCTAGAAAGATAAATGTCACCAACAATACTGTCAAATTGATTTTAATATACCTTGTCTGTATTACTTGGGGCCTAATTTGCCCTGAAAAACCTTTACACTAGATTTATTTGTGCAAGAATGTAAGAAAAAAAATGAACCTCTCTTCGACC